ACAGTGGGTGGTCAGGCGCACATCAGACGCTAATGGACCAACAGGTTTGCAGCGAGTTTATGATCAGCAGTATGGAGACAAAATGTGCAGCAACATAACATGTCAGCGGATGACGGATTTAACGTTAGTGATGCCAACGATCAGTGCAGAGAGTCCACTGATCAATACAGCTACTATATAGCATATATATAGATAATATAGTATATACTATATAATGATCATTCAAACTATTAAGATAATTTCTGGTTTATTATTATTTTATTATATCACACAACGCTGATTCACACCAAGCAGGTGGCCCGAAACCAGAAAAACTTTCACCATCATGACATCCCAACACTGACTTGCCAGTATTTTAAACTGCAAACATTAACACCCCTCCTTCAGAGTGCAGGCACTGTACTTCCCATCTCCAGACTCTATGTCCACTGCCGGTTTCCCTGAACCCCTTCATTAAATGTTACTTTTTGCTCACACTCCAACAGCACGTCAAAAATTAGAAACCATTTGTCTCCATTCACTCCTATCAAACACGCTCATGCATGCCTGCTGGAAGTCCAAGCCCCTCGCACACAAAACCTCCTTTACCCCCTCCCTCCAACCTTTCCTAGGCCGACCCCTACCCCGCCTTCCTTCCACTACAGACTGATACACCCTTGAAGTCACTCTGTTTCGCTCCATTCTCTCTACATGCCCGAACCACCTCAACAACCCTTCCTCAGCCCTCTGGACAACAGTTTTGGTAATCCCGCACCTCCTCCTAACTTCCAAACTACGAGTTCTCTGCATTATATTCACACCACACATTGCCCTCATACATGACATCTCCACTGCCTCCAGCCTTCTCCTCACTGCAACATTCATCACCCATGCTTCACACCCATATAAGATCGTTGGTAAAACTATACTCTCATACATTTCCCTCTTTGCCTCCAAGGACAAAGTTCTTTGTCTCCACAGACTCCTAAGTGCACCACTCACTTTTTTCCCCTCACCAATTCTATGATTCACCTCATCTTTCATAGACCCATCTGCTGACACGTCCACTCCCAAATATCTGAATACATTCACCTCCTCCATACTCTCTCCCTCCAATCTGATATCCAATCTTTCATCACCTAATCTTTTTGTTATCCTCATTACCTTACTCTTTCCTGTATTCACTTTTAATTTTCTTCTTTTGCACACCCTACCAAATTCATCCACCAATCTCTGCAACTTCTCTTCAGAATCTCCCAAGAGCACAGTGTCATCAGCAAAGAGCAACTGTGACAACTCCCACTTTGTGTGATTCTTTATCTTAACTCCAAGCCTCTTGCAAAGACCCTCGCATTTACAGTGGACCCCCGATTAACGATATTTTTTCATTCCAGAAGTATGTTCAGGTGCCAGTACTGACCGAATTTGTTCCCATAAGGAATATTGTGAAGTAGATTAGTCCATTTCAGACCCCCAAACATACATGTACAAACGCACTTATATAAATACACTTACATAAATTGGTCACATTAGGAGGTGATCGTTAAGTGGGGGTCCACTGTACTTCTCTTACAACCCCATCTATAAATATATTAAACAACCACGGTGACATCACACATCCTTGTCTAAGGCCTACTTTTACTGGGAAATAATTTCCCTCTTTCCTACATACTCTAACTTGAGCCTCACTATCCTTGTAAAAACTCTTCACTGCTTTCAGTAACCTACCTCTTACACCATACACCTGCAACATCTGCCACATTGTCCCCCTATCCACCCTGTCATACGCCTTTTCCAAATCCATAAATGCCACAAAGACCTCTTTAGCCTTATCTAAATACTGTTCACTTATATGTTTCACTATAAACACCTGGTCCACACACCCCCTACCTTTCCTAAAGCCTCCTTGTTCATCTGCTATCCTATTCTCCGTCTTACTCTTAATTCTTTCAATAATAACTCTACCATACACTTTACCAGGTATACTCAACAGACTTATCCCCCTATAATTTTTGCACTCTCTTTTGTCCCCTTTGCCTTTATACAAAGGAACTATGCATGCTCTCTGCCAATCCCTAGGTACCTTACCCTCTTCTATACATTTATTAAATAATTGCACCAACCACTCCAAAACTATATCCCCACCTGCTTTTAACATTTCTATCTTTATCCCATCAATTCCGGCTGCCTTACCCCCTTTCATTTTACCTACTGCCTCACGAACTTCCCCCACACTCACAACTGGCTCTTCCTCACTCCTACAAGATGTTATTCCTCCTTGCCCTATACACGAAATCACAGCTTCCCTATCTTCATCAACATTTAACAATTCCTCAAAATATTCCCTCCATCTTCCCAATACTTCTAACTCTCCATTTAATAACTCTCCTCTCCTATTTTTAACTGACAAATCCATTTGTTCTCTAGGCTTCCTTAACTTGTTAATCTCACTCCAAAACTTTTTCTTATTTTCAACAAAATTTGTTGATAACATCTCACCCACTCTCTCATTTGCTCTCTTTTTACATTGCTTCACCACTCTCATAACCTCTCTCTTTTTCTCCATATACTCTTCCCACCTTTCATCACTTCTACTTTGTAAAAACTTCTCATATGCTAACTTTTTCTCCCTTACTACTCTCTTTACATCATCATTCCACCAATAACTCCTCTTCCCTCCTGCACCCACTTTCCTGTAACCACAAACTTCTGCTGAACACTCTAACACTACATTTTTAAACCTACCCCATACCTCTTCGACCCCATTGCCTATGCTCTCATTTGCCCATCTATCTTCCAATAGCTGCTTATATCTTACCCTAACTGCCTCCTCTTTTAGTTTATAAACCTTCACCTCTCTCTTCCCTGATGCTTCTATTCTCCTTGTATACCTTTTACTCTCAGTGTAGCTACAACTAGAAAGTGATCTGATATATCTGTGGCCCCTCTATAAACATGTACATCCTGAAGTCTACTCAACAGTCTTTTATCTACCAATACATAATCCAACAAACTACTATCATTTCGCCCTACATCATATCTTGTATACTTATTTATCCTCTTTTTCTTAAAATATGTATTACCTATAACTAAACCCCTTTCTATACAAAGTTCAATCAAAGGGCTCCCATTATCATTTACACCTGGCACCCCAAACTTACCTACCACACCCTCTCTAAAAGTTTCTCCTACTTTAACATTCAGGTCCCCTACCACAATTACTCTCTCACTTGGTTCAAAGGCTCCTATACATTCACTTAACATCTCCCAAAATCTCTCTCTCTCTCTCTCTACATTCCTCTCTTCTCCAGGTGCATACACGCTTATTATGACCCACTTTTCGCATCCAACGTTTACTTTAATCCACATAATTCTTGAATTTACACATTCATATTCTCTTTTGTCCTTCCATAACTGATCCTTCAATCACCTCCCAATGCGACCAATTATGTAAGTGTATTTATGTAAGTGCGTTTGTACGTGTATGTTTGGGGGTCTGAAATGGACTAATCTAATTCACAATATTCCTTATGGGAACAAATTCTTTCAGTACTGGCACCTGAACATACTTCTGGAATGAAATAATATCGTAAACCGGGGGTCCACTGTATATATGTATATGTATATATAATTTTCTAGGTAGTAGGTTGGTAGACAGCAACCGCCCAGGGAGGTACTACCGTCCTGCCAAGTGAGTGTAAAACGAAAGCCTGTAATTGTTTTACATGATGGTAGGATTGCTGGTGTCCTTTTTTCTGTCTCATGAACATGCAAAATTTCAGGTACGTCTTGCTACTTCTACTTACACTCAGGTCACACTACACGTACATGTACAAGCGTATATATACATACCCCTCTGGGTTTTCTTCTATTTTCTTTCTAGTTTCTTGTTCTTGTTTATTTCCTCTTATCTCCATGGGGAAGTGGAACAGAATTCTTCCTCCGTAGGCCATGCGTGTTGTAAGAGGCGACTAAAATGCCGGGAGCAAGGGGCTAGTAACCCCTTCTCCTGTATATATTACTAAATTTGAAAGGAGAAACTTTGGTTTTTTCTTTTGGGCCACCCCGCCTCGGTGGGATATGGCCGGTGTGTTGAAAGAAAGAATATATATTTTATATATGTATATAAAACATGAAATGACTTTAAAACACTTTGAAATTTTGGAAAGTTTCCAGACATAATGGAGAGACGTGGTGCTCGTGGAGCTCACGGAGAATGTAAACAAAACGGGTGGGGTGTGGCGACCATATTAGAAAGTCAGGCGGGGGAGGCATACAGCGAGTGTTGGTCATAATTTGAAATGTCTGTATTAGTGGAATGTCATTAGGTGAAACACCATAAAGTGGGACCCTAATGTATTCCCTTTCTCAATATAACTATTTCCCTTGAGATAGCATATTTAAACCCCAAGAGTTTTTACTGTCTTTGTTGAAAACCCATTATGTTAAAAAGAAAAAAATACTAGAATTGTCGTCTACATGTATGTCCACGTTCACATCCACAGGTGTTGACTGGGATGATGTCACTGTTTTACTTATTTCTCTAAACTTGGGATTATATTTTCCTCTATAAAATTCCCTAAGATGTTCACTAAGGAGGGTGTGACTAGTTGGTGAGAGTCACCATTGAGGTGCTACCATCACCAGCTTGACATACTCTGCAGGGAGCACTGTGCCAATGAGTGTTGTGAAGAAAGTATTTTTGTGGAAATGCTGCTTTGACATACTGTACCTCAAAAATTGACTGTTGAGACATAATAATGCATTAAGTATCAGCAATGTTCAGTCACTATCTCCATGTGTTTACAGCAAAATCTACTATAATGTCTATGCATTTCTGGAAAAATAGCTAGGGAATGAGTATTTGTAAATGCATTGCACTATAATTAGCTAATTACCTATTTGTAATTAATTTGTATGAGTTTTTGGAGGCAAAGGGAGCTGGTATAGTTTTTAGTAAAGTACTCTGTATTAACTTGTTCTAAAGAGTGTAGTTGCAGAGCAGATATTTTTACTTTCAGGTGCAGCTCGTCGTGAAATCTATTTTATGGCACTCATTGATGTCCTAACACATTATGGTGTCAAAAAGCAGGCAGCCAAGGCTGCAAAGACTGTGAAATATGGATCAAATGCAGATGGCATATCTACAGTGGAACCTGATCAGTATGGCCGGCGGTTTTTGGACTTCATGAACCAGGCCATTGTGTAGGTGTATACAGTTGTAAAGTTGGTGGGTGTGAAGAGACCCTTGTATCCTCAGCTGTGTAGATTTTCTTTGCCCAAACTTGTGTATGCTCCAGATTTTAACCCATCAAATACAGACTTTACTAGATTTGTTTTGCATTAAATTGTTATTAAGGTTGCTTTTTTTCGTTGTATTTTTATTTGCATTAATAATGCATTCAAATTAAATTAATTCTGGATGCATGGGCATTAATCACTATTATTTCATTACAAATCAGTTTTATTGGAAAAAATGGTTATGATGATCAGGATGATATGGATAGAGTAATGTATTTATATAATTGATTATGTATTATGTGGAAACATACATGCATATTAACTATGATTACTTCAGGAATTTTCCAACATTTTCCTCACAAAATGGCTGTATTGAAACATAGCTATTAATCACTGGATCAAATCTGGAAACCCAAGCATTTACTCAATATACATAGCCAGTTCTTTCAACTTTCTGAATCCATTCAACCAGTCATACTTTTGAGATTTCAGGCCCATCATTTAAACCTCAAGAGTATGTTTGGCTAGTCATATCAGTCTTTGAGAAGGTTTCAGTGGTCATGGTAACTATTGAACTGCTTGATCACTCACACCAGAGTAAGTGATGTCCAGGCTACCAATAGTCGAGTGTTTATTTACATTTTTTTTTTCTCTATTACTTTTTTTTCTAAGCAGAATGGAGTTTACTGATTTACAAAAGGACTGACTCATAGTGATTTTAAATAATACTCATGTTATGTTTTTGTCTTATTCTCGGTAAATAGTAAGGAAATAATTGCAGTTTTGTATCCTCAAGACATGTAGGTATAGATACAATATTCATTTTCTTCACATTGATTGTGCCTATCTGCTCAGTATTTCCCATTTTATGGCCCAAATCTCTTAATGATTGGGATAATGTTGATCATAAAAGGGATATATAAACTTTACACGAATCAGCCTTCAGAGCTCAAAGGATAAATGTCTTAGAGGAATAAAGCAAGAAAAGAATCTGAAAATGTAGTTTTAGAAATTTGTATGTTATTTTTAGAACTAAAAGGCAGACTATCTATCTATCAGATGTAGGTGGATAACAAAAAGGCTTGCCAATACAGTCTGTGGAATTGCCATACTAGTCCATTAACAATATTGTAGTGATGCATTGCCCTTTTAAGAGCTTTAAAAAAAATAGTAGACTTGTCAGTTTGGTGCACCTGCCCTCCTTGAAATGAAAATTCTTCTTCTCTCTAGAGTATAACAATCACAGGCAAGTGAAGCATATGTAATCAATAAGCTTATTTTGATTAAAAGCATGCATTAATTTTAAGACAATGAAGTTTTTCAAACACTCATACTGCCTTGTCATGGGCTGTACAAGACTAGGAGAGGGACATGACTCTAAGGGAAGAGGAAACCTCTACATGGAGGATTGAAATACAACTATTTAGGTTTTACATGTGAAAATCTATGACTTTACTAGAAGTGATAATGATTACTGAATGATGTTGAGTAATGTGTGTGTTTGTATGTGATTGATGGTTGAAAAAATGTTTTGTATGTTAGTAGACTGAAAAATAATGCATGAAATCTAATTTTGGGTATTGTGTACTCCATAAAATGTGCACTATGAACAAAATCTGTTGCTACTGAGAAAAACCATTCATGTTATTTGATTGTATGTGAACAGAGAATATACGAACACCAGCTTTTGGAAGGAGTTTCTACACAGTCACCCAAAGGTAGACAAATGCCTGAAAAATAGAAGAATGCTCAGCAAACTTTTAGTTATTCAGGTGAGGATTGATTTCATATTAAATATGATAATAATTTCTTTATATAATAGGAGAAAAGGGGTATATTATTGTTTAAAACTGCCTTGTTTCTATAAAAGAATATTTATTTTATTTAAAAATATTTATGAAATTTTTAATTTCTTTTAATACATTTGTTTAGCTTGTGATATATTTATTACAGTATACATATATCTTATAAACTTCAGGAATTTGTTTACTTTGAAAGGGGTAATAGACCATCATTTAAAAATTACTTAAAGAAATTAGTATAATCTACCAGTATGTCAGAATTTAATAGCAGCTTCAAGCATTTTGCTGCATATTTCAAGACACATACAATTAAGCCTGACCCTTGTAGGTTTAGTGCTTCTTTTTGATTATAATAATAAAATACATTTAAGCCAAAGACTGTACAGGCTTTTTCATTAAATTATTTCAATTTAATTAAATTCAGGTTTTGCTCCTGTTCCCTGAGTTTCCTTTATAATTCAGAACAAAATTTTCATTTAGAAATGCAGATTGCCTCACTAGTTCGTATCTGAGCTGTATACATACCCAGTAGTATTCCTAAAGCTAATCAAGTGTACTTAAGAAATAACTGTAAATTAGACTGAATATTTCTTGCCTTTAAAGGATAAGATGCATTTCAAGCAGTGCTGCCATAAATGACTAGCTTCTTCAATGAATAGGCTATTGTTGGATATCTGGACATGAATCTCATGGATACAAGTCAAATGCAGTAGAGACTAGGAGGAAAAATAGGTAAATAGTTATTGAGAGAAGGCCATTTATGAGACTTAATTCCAGGCTTGGTCTCCCTGTGGCTGTGTTGAATTTGATTATAATGGTGTGTGTGAGGCTGTCAATTTCATCACCTCCATAATTAAAGTAAAAGGACACAAGTGCAACTAATGTGACATTTATTGTGGCAACGTTTTGCTCTCCAGGAGCTTTATCAAGCTTGATAAAGCTCCTGGAGAGCGAAACGTTGCCACAATAAATGTCACATAAGTTGCATTGTGTCCTTTTACTTTACATATTGTCGGTAATTCTACCAACTTTATTACACCTCCATAATTACCTGTATATAAGGCATCTTAATTTTTTTTTTTATCGTTCATTAAGACTCAGTTGTTTATTCATGCATTAAGACACTATATTGTTTAAATATTGTGCAATAGATGCATAAGTGGCTTACTTATTTTGTAATAGATCATAGGTATTTACATTAAATAGAATTGATCAGGTCATGATTGATGTTAATAAGTATGTTAAGATCATGATTGAAGTTACTTGGTAAGTCTTAGTAAATTTGGCATTTTTCCTGAAAATGCTAAAATGTGTGGTAGAAGTGTATAACTCTCCCCCCCCCCCCACAAAAAAAACCTGAATATGTATAATTAAGCTATGCACAATATTTAGATATATTCAAAGATTAATTTAATTAAGTCATCCATGCAAGTACTAAGATTTTTTTATATAAACAAAAATGTGATATTTAGTATCACACACAATAAATAGTAAATGGATTCTCGGATATTTGAAAATATGATTTCTGAGCTACTTAACAGTACAGTTATGTTATCAAAGTATCATCTCGGAAGTGTATAATATTGAGATAAAGTTTATATTTCATCCAGAATAAAAAAGTTGAAGACAGTGGATCTTTATTTATAAAAGTGGATTTTTTCTTTGCCATTACATAGCTTGTTGAGAAATGAATGTGCTTATACAATTTTTCAATGTGTTTTATTTGAAGAAATATGTTTAAAAGGGAATTTCACTAGTAGATCATAATGGTCTGTGTCATTCAATCTGTACTTCCCTTAAAAATAAGATGCAAAAGTAGATAATGTGATCCTGAGAAGTACGTACTTGTATCAAGGAGTTTATGGTGCTGTGTAGTATTAGAAATAGAAATGTCTGCTAGGGCCTCTAGGGGTAATAAATACAATCAGTTGCAGTATAATGTTTGTTTATGATGTTCTTGGGGTTGAACAAACAAATAATTATTTTGACCAACATCACTGACTTGTACATGATTTCTTCCCATTACCACTTTTAAGAAGTTTCTAATCCTGAAACATTGTTCCATCCTTATCCGATCGCCGTGATGCTCATTGCTTTCGCTACTATGTACACTCTCATGATCACCGCAATCCTTCCATTTATAGAATGGTCACCGATATTAGTAGACATTCTTTATTTGTTCGCCGCCCCTGTTTGCTTCGTCCCTTCTCCCTTCGCCTACATTCGCTCTTGTCTTCTCTTCAATTACCACCTCTCTATGTTCATGTAGCATCTCACTTTTCCCTACATCCCTGTGAAGTTCCAGCTGTTCGAGTCTGTTCTTTCTCACTCCCTTGCTCGAAAGCCCAACTGTCTACGGTAGCTTCCCGCTCTCTTTTTCTTGACCACTTCCACTCTCATTCTCATGCCATTGCAGTGTACACAGATGGCTCTAAGTCTTCTGATGGCGTAGGATTCGCAGCAGTGTTTCCGGACAGCGTCGTACGAGGGCATTTACTCTCTTCGGCTAGTATCTATACTGCTGAATTGTATGCCATTCTTGCAGCACTTATCTGTATTGCATCTATGCCTATGTCAAAAATTTGTGGTTGTCTCAGACTCCCTTAGTGCTTTACAGGCTATACAGAAATTTGATACACCTCACCCCTTAGTCCTCTGTATCCAACTTTGGTTACGTCGCGTCTCTTCCAAGCATAAAGATATTGTTTTTGTTGGGTCCCTGGTCATGTTGACGTACAGGGCAATGAACAGGCAGACACTACTGCGCGGTCAGCAGTACATGACCTACCAGTTTCGTATGGAGGTGTTCCATTTACGGACTACTTTGCTGCAATAGCTACCCACCTTCACACCCGTTAGCAACAACGTTGGTCTACTCTGCTCGGTAACAAACTTCAATCTATTAAACCGAATATAGGTTACTGGCCGTCTTCTTGTCACCAGTGTCGAGGTTGGGAGACTACTCTCTCCCGTCTTCGCATTGGCCATACTCGTCTTACTTGTGGTTATCTCATGGAGAGGCGCACTGTTCCTCTCTGTGAGAATTGTCGGGTTCCATTATCGGTTAGCCACATTCTATTAGACTGCCCACTTTATCAACGAGCACGCAGAATATACCTCCAACGTCGTCTTTGCTCCGCTGCTCTCTCTTTACCTTCCCTTCTCGCTGATGGACGCACCTTTCATCCGGACTCTCTCATTGACTTTTTGACAACAACTGACTTACTTCACAAACTCTGATGATGCCTTCAGCCCTTTTTACCTCAATCTCTTGCTGCCCTCTACCCCCACACTATCCCCTGCCCCGCTGTTTTCTGTAACTTACTGATCATCCCTCCCCCTTTCTACAGCCCAATACCCTCACTTCCTTCCCTACCCTGCAGCGCTGTATAGCCCTTGTGGCTTAGCGCTTCTTTTTGATTATAATAAATAATCCTGAAACAGATGCTTATTTAATAAAGTACTTTCATTTCTTGTGAAAAATAGGATTTGATTTCTGGAATAAATGTATCCAAAGAAATTTTGTAGTGATAGGATTATGTGTACTCTATATTAACTGTGTATTTGAACAGTTACATTGATTTATGAGTTAAAGTTTTTAAGATTTCAGTTTTATGTCAGACAAACATGTTTGGTTCGCTTCAGTTTAACCATCATTCCTACTTAATATACCTTGTGTCTTTGATGAATTAAAGCTTGATCAAATATAGGGAGGCTTCATCATGCTGGTTGAGAGCTACAACCAGTTTGCACTTGTTGTTAATGACACTTGTGCTAGAGCATTTTATTCTGAAGCACACGAGGTATTGCCCAGTGTTCCCTTTGATCAAAAATTTAAACCAAGCATGGGATGCCAAGTGGCTGCAACTTCTTTATCCGACAGCTCTTGGTATCGTGCATACATTTATAAAATAGAGGGTCATAATTTACATCGACTTGGGTAACATGAAGACACTTGAAATGGTTAAACCACTTCCCATTGGACCATTCTCTGAGTTGCTGGGCTTTACCGTATTAGCTAAGATTCACTCTGCAGTAGAACCAGAAGTTAAGATGCAATTGCAGAAAATGAGCATACTAGAAGAGAAAATTGTCTTCAAGGTTATAAGCAAGAAGTCCAAGCCTTTAAAAGCTTCTCTGTTAAGTAGTGATTCAATTAGTGTGATGGCTGACTATATCCTAAGACCATGGTACAACTCTCTACCTTTGTTACATGATGTTGAGGGTACACCATCGTGTCCAACTTTGGGCCATCTTTCAAGCCTTGGCTGAAAGCTTGGTCCTTCATTTAAATCAAGGTGAAAGCTTGGTCCCACAGAATCTCTCCTCTCACAAGATAAGAGCATACTTGTGTTGATTCGTGTAAGAGGAACTTTGAGCAGAAACCTAAAGATTTTTCTCATGGAGAAAAAGTCTTGCGTTATCAGTGCACTATTGAAGCTACCAAATCCAGGAAAGTAGATATACCTACAAGTTCCCACAGGTACTCTGAAGTTACAAGAGCACCCTTGGCTTCATCGTTATTGAGTATGGGTGATGTTGACACTAGAGAAAGGTTCTGGGCTGTAGACCTCAGAGAGACTGTGGTGAAAAATATGAAAGAGTATACTGTGCTGCCTATGTGGGTTGATGAGCACAACAAACTGTGTGTTCGACTAGTATCTGAGAAGTCTACTCATGAGTATCAGAAGTTGAAGCAAAATCTAGTGCAACATTGTGCAAGAGGATGTAGAGTGTGTGATGTTCAAGTTGGGGAGATGGTGTGTGGCTTTGTAGTGAGTGACAGAGTGTGGTATCATGCCCAGGTCGAGAAGGTTGATGCCAATTGTGTCCACTTATACATGGTTGATTTTAGCAACTGAAATTGTCCCTAAAACCAATATTAATGAATTTGCTGCCTACCTAATGCAGCTGCTATGTTTTTACATCAAGGAATATGAGAAGATGATGTAATGTCAAGAAGTAAGATGTTGTCCCTAGTTCACTCATCAGTGCCACTGTTAATGCATTCTCTTGGAGCTGACAGTTCAGAGTTTGAACTTTATGACCCCAGGAAACATATATTGTTGTTGAATGATCAACTGTCATCAAGTAAGACAATGGTGGATCGTAAGGAGGACCATCAGCAGAAACTTCTTTTCTCTTCAATACGTTAACAGAAGAAGATCACAGCAACCCTTCAGACAAATCTATATCATTTTTATCAAGGAAAAATCCTGCAGGAATTGAAGAGTTTCCTAGAGTATCAGAGTCATTCACTCGGTTAGAAATTACACCCATTCCTTCTCTTTTGCAAATTCCAGCAAATTGTAAAACTGTTGGAGAGTACCTGCCGACACACAGCTTCCACCTGCGGAAACACACACAGGCCACACTATGAGAAACTCAAGTATATACAGTATATGCAACACCTCCAGTGTTGCCTGTGATAAGTGTGACATCAACCCTACTGTCCAATGAAGGAGTAAATACAGATAGGACTTATGATGAAGCATGGTTGTTGCAAGTAAGGTGCCAATGTATGCTACATGCAAGAGTACACAGCTTCCTATAGCCAAAGTTGTGTCAGTTATTGTGTTTGAAACATGCAACCCTCACAGTATATTTGTGGTTCCAAAAGATTCTCTACATCTCATTGAAAAGCTGGAGGAGATGATGGATCACATGTACAAGTACTGTGAGAGTCTCCCTGGGTGCTTCTACAGACCCATACTTGGGTAGCTATGCTTGGCCATGTTCAGTGAAGATCACAGGTAGTGCAGAGCATCATGCATCAGGCCAGAGCTGGAGTCAGCACTGGTTTTCTTCATCGATTATGGAATCTTGTAGGAAATGTCTTATAGCAGTATACGCCAGGTACCGCAGTCATTCCTAGAGCTGCCTTGTCTAACTCTCCACTGCATTCTTCATGGCATATCTGAGCATGGGGTACAAAAGCCAGCAGCAGCAAGAATTGGCCAGCTTCTTCCCAAGTACTCAGAAGTCATTGTGGATGCGCTGGAACACCACAGCGATGGTACCTATACTATTGCAGTGCCCGAAGTAACTCAGGCTCTCATTACTGAAGGTCTTGTAGCGCCCAGTGTGTGATTCCATCACCCAGGATATTACTGAAGGTCTTGTAGTGTCCAATGTGTGACTCCATTGCCTGGGATGTCATCAGTGAATTTTGATGAGTGATCATTGTACAAATGGAAGTTGATGTTTAATTTACATTTATTGCTACTGTTAATGTATTCACCGACATTACATATTACAGTTCATATACAGCTAGGTCTTGATTAATGTGAATAATGAATCTTGTGAAGTGGTCGCACTGTTCAAATTCGCACTATTCGAAGTTATATGTAAAATATAGTAATTGGTTTGAGCTCATTGAAAATATGCAGTAAAAATTTTAAACAAGTTTTCTTTATCTAAGATAATATAAAAACAAAGGAAAAGAAAGATGTATTTCTGATTCAAGTTCATTACAAATAGTTATACAAAGAAAAATTTAAAAAATAAAAAATTATTGAATAGTATAACAGTATAACAGAAGCATCAATATTGTCATTTAAAATATTTTAGTAGTGTAGGCTGAATAGTCTTCTCTTTCTTTAAATCTTCATTCCCAGACCATACATTCGTGGCCCCAGACTATTCAACATCTTGCCAGAAGATATCAGAAACATGGCTGGAACAAGTGTAGAAGTCTTCAAGAGGAAACTGGACAAGTATCTTCACCAGGTGCCAGATCAACCAGGCTGTGATGGATATGTGGGTCAGCGGGCCTCCAGCAGCAACAGCCTGGTTGACCAGGCAAGCACCGGATGAGCCTGGCCCATGGCCGGGCTCCAAGAATAGTGAGACTCTCGAAACTCATCAATGGTAAAGGTATAAGGTATGCAAAGCATGCACTTTTCCTTTATATTGAGGAACTGTATAGAGGAGATAGTTCCTGCACTAATATGTGAAACTTGCCCCTACCCAAGCATAAAGGAAGCAAGATTTACCACAAGACTAGTACAGGTCAGCCATTACTGATCTGGCATCATTGGGACTCGTAGTGTGCCGGATTAGTGATGGCCAACCTGTAATGAGAAGTAATTGCCTTAAGGAATTACTTTATTGACTTAAACTCATGACTCTGGAGGAATGCAGCACTAGAGATACTGTTACATAATAAAATATGCTGTGGGGCATAGACTAGGTAGACAAGGATAGGGTATTTAATGAGGGAGATTAGGAAAGAAATGGAACAAGCCTGGAAATAATTCCATATCGTTAATTATTGGCCATAAAATGAGGTTATTTCTTGAGTAACCTCAGAGTAATATACTTGTTATGAATGCAAACTACCAAAAAATATGAAAAAATTATCAGAATAATGATAATAAAGTACTCAAGTTATCGTCATCACCATGTTATTGTTGGATTACAGGGCTGTGATGGCCCAAAGTGACTCTGCTGTGCAAATTGGCTACCAATATGCTTTTCTAAATATAAAATTGTTAAATGCATATTTTTTATATAAAAAATTATAATGAAATTTTATTTTCTTCATTTTCAACAATGATAGTAATAAAGAAAGGGATGGTGGGAGGTACCCATATATAAACATTGCTAATAGTGGCAGACATACAGTATGAGTCTAACAACTGAACTAATGTACACTGCATATAAGTAGGTACTGTACTGATGTTATGGTCATTTTCCTCTCATTTTAACTTTCATCATGAAAATAGAGGAAAGCAGAGGATAAAGCATATAAACACAGCTAGCTTTACTACTCAGGCAAGATTTAGCTGATTTACTCTCCACTGACTTTGTACCTTCAAAACTTGCAGTTCTAACTATTCAAGAGTTATTGCTGATTACATATCTGAGTACATGAATGGCACTGCAGTGTTAATTATAATTCGAGGGTTGCTTTACTGATGCGAATTTAAAATTTAAATTACAAGCCTGGAAATACGACTATTGTCATTGGTGGGGTAACTCTTACATAGATGCAGCTATACCCTGTGACTGAGATAAAAAAAAAAATTGTACATATGTAAGCATTATCTTCAGCATCTTCTCATTTTAATTGTGCTATGCAGGAAATGGGCTAATTTAGTCCCATCTGTTTAGGCCTGCATCTCACATGGTGATGGCTTATATACTGTATAAACATTACCATCAGCATCATAATGATGCATACATTGACTGCTGATGCTGGAGAGAACTTATTAGCTCACGTTTGTGAGGAATGAAAATATATTTGTCTTAAACCTAATAAAATTGTAACTCCCTTTCCCTTCCATCTTGTGGCTCAGGTCAGTTTACGTTTGGTAATATATGGTACAAGTCCACAACCCTTTTTCCGAAATTCTGATATTGGAAAAATTCCAAAAACTGAAGATTTTTCATGGAGTGTGGAGTGTTAGTCATCTCAGTGCTGGGTCACACCATCACATGGCGGTGTTGAGAATCATTCTGAACTTCGAAAAATTCTGAAATTCGAAGCAATACTGGCTCCAAGGGTTTTGGATAAAGCGATGTGGACCTGTAGTCTGATTCCAGGTACAGAATCAGAATTACAAAACAGTTTAGTCATGTTAGCAAATCGAAAATTAAGTGATGGGTTCTTTGGCTGAAGATAAATTCATGTAGACTTTACTATGTAACAAGTCAGATCAATTTATAATAAGTATTGGGGATACTATTCTGTAATTATTTTTATAACAGTTTTTGTATGATTTTTCTCACTGTAGCATGTGAAACTTTTTTTGCATATTATCTCTGGTTTCTAATTTGAAAAGTCAAATTTTTGGTAATTTTATTATTTACATGAGAAAATAATGAATGTTTGGAAACAGCAGTAAGGCTTATTGTTTATGAAGGCCACTACTGTATACAGTTGCAAAAATCTGTGCTTCACATTCCACCTAAAAGAATAAGAGGCCATTGCTTTAGAAACAATTACCAGTATAGTGTTACCATAAAGAAATGTGCATGACTAATGAAGTAAAAAAAAAGGAAATCCTAATTCTCAGATTTTCTTGTGGAGGCTTATACATAATACTTAAACTGCAAAATGGATTTAATTATAGAGATAAACAGAAAAAAAAGCTATCAAGAAAATAGGTTCTTGGCTAAGCAAAAACAGTGAAAGATAGTAAAGTTGTGAAAGATTAATACCAGGCAATGGAACACAAAACACATAACTGTTATGGAAACTAACTTATTACATCCCACAATACCATTGCCACTAATATACCCCCTACAAGGGGGTGCTTGATTCTGCTGTAGATTTCTTGATCCAAAGAATTGAAGCTGCTCTCATTCTTGGATTAAATCTGTTATCTCCCATTCCCTAGGCGCCTTATTACCCTCACGGGCTTAGCGCTTCCTTGTGAATACAATACTATGTATATAATGCACAATAACATGTCTTGTCTTCTGTACACCTGATAGTGGAAAATACTCTCCAGGCCTGGTGCCTGAACTGCACACTAAAATGAACCTTAGGTGCCATAAGCCCTGCTGGAAAATAGTGTCAGCATCTGTGGCCCATGACTTTTGAACCTTCCAGCACATATAAGAAATATTGATGGAGTGAAGAAAGTTGTTATAGATACACTTGTCTAAGTTCCTCCTGAGGTGTCTGATCAACTATGTTGTGATGGCTGTGAGTGGCAAAACTTTTGACACTGGTTACAGTTAAATAGTCACATTAAGCTATTTCATAAAATATTGCAGCATGACCATATGTTTTGCTCTCTAGTTTTGGTATTAATGTCATTTGGCTACTAGTTCATATGTAAGATTTGGTTTATAAAAGCTGGTCATATTTTAAATTCATGAGAAAAATTTCTACTTAAAAGTTTTTGGATGTTTGTGATTTAAAACATTGTATTTTAAAAGATAAGAGTAGCTTGCTAGTTCTTAATTAAAATGCATTTGGCAGGTATGAAGAGATAATTATGTTGTACACAATCTACAGTGATTTACGATTTTCCTGGCCTTGTTCAGACTTTGTGTTTTTCGGTTAGTTCTGATTTTTTTTTCTTTTTAAGATGTAACAATTATCAAGCATAGGGAAGTCTTGTTCAATGCTGACTGCTTTAACCCTTAAACTGTCCAAACATAGATCTACGTTCACATGCGTAGTGCTCCAAAAGTAGATCTACTTTTTATACATATTTTCAAAAATAACAAAAAAAAATGTAGATCAAAGTTTTTTTTTACACGCTTTCAAATGTAAAAAAAAAAAAAAAAAAAAAATTTTTACACTTTCAAATGCTGAAAAAACGTAGATCTATGTTTGGACAGTTTAAGGGTTAATGGTGCCTTAATCAGCTTGGGACAATGTACAGTATTGTTCAAAGCCTCTTACAACTGGCCCAATCCTCAGTATATGTCTCAGTAACCCAGGACAGCTTATTGCATGTCAACTATTAGTATTGTTTTAGAGGTAGCATCAGCAATAGTTGTGTCTTCTCATGCCAATCATTTATTGACCATTTATTTACGAAGCAGATTAGTGCAACATCACATTTTACTGGAAATAATGAGAATGTAATGTGGAACAATGTGGATAAAGCTGCTTTTTTAGATGTTGTAAGAGAAAAATACTTTCTGTGAGAAAAATGGACACAATTGCAATTAATGTGACATTTTATTGTGGCAATGTTTTGCTCTCCATGAACTTTATCAAGCCATAATTCTACTATTACTACCTGTGAGGAGGAAAGATGGAGCCAACTGATTGCTAGGATGGTGGTTACCACCACTTGAATATTTTTACGCCAACAAAATTAATATTGCACTGCCTAGTCATGTATGCCATAAATTCGACCAGGCTGTTGCACCTTAATCAAGAGGGAGCTGCACTGCTAAATATGGAAGGTGCTGAAATTATGCCAGCCCCTTGTAAATACAGTCTGCAGAGATTGTAGAAGGGTATTGAGCTTATAGTCAACCTTAACACACTACAAAACTGATCCTAACCAAGCACACAACACTGGGGTCATTGAGGCATCTCAGCATTTGCTTCAATGCTACAGGAATCTGTACAGAGAAAAATAATGAAACTTACAAATGTGCACAGCCAGGCATTTCTCACTAAACCCTTTGCAAGTAACACCACTTAAATGAGTTCTATTCTAGCTGCTTCATCAGAATGAGATGGTGATTCCTCCCATCTCCTGCCCACCAACATAGTAACATAAAAAGTAAAACGTTTAGTGCCAAAACATGACATACAGGATCCTGGCACATATACAGTGAGTTAAAAGTAATTTTATGTACTTTTGACTAAATATAGGGTAAAATAGTATATCTTGTCTGGAACCAACTTTATTTATGCTGTTTGTATTGAGGTACAATGAGAAAATAAACCTCATTCAATGCTGCCTTCCCTAAATGGGTCAATTTCTGGAATCCATTCCATCAGTGAGTGAGGCTTCCCTGTATATTTCATGACAGTGCTGTATGTATGACCCTTTTGGGTTAAGTACTTAATTTGATTGTTATTATTACTGTGAGGAAAGTTATGAGACATTGTATATCTGCATCACCATCTTACATGTCTTTGTTTCATTTTAGTTAGTGACCACTGAAGGAGGAGGCTGCTGCTAATGCTGCCAGTGAAAGATTTATGTATTTTTGTAGCCTAATGCTACTGCTTGCAGCAGTACAGTGCTAATTATAAACTTGCAGGTGTCCACAAAAGTCAGTTTTCAATGTTTGGGTCCTCTCTACAACTTTATTTTTGATAATACATGGTAGGGAGTAATGACGCAGCAAGGACTTGTAGGGGTTTTGTCAAGACCGAACATATTCAGACCACATACTGAGATCAAGACTGAGATCAAACATACCGAGATAAAATACAAGACCAAAACTTAATGAACTGAGACAAAGACTGAGACCACATTATTATTGTTGTGACCAGCCTTATAAGCTAGAACAACAACAACAACAATAAGGGTAATAGCTAATTCTTAAAAGTTATTTTTGTTGTGATAAAGAAAATAAATCAAAAAAAGAAATTAGTTACAATGAATCCACTTTGGAATATGTACACATCCTGTTTATTATTATAATCAGAGTGCTGTACAGCCCTTGTGGTTTAGCGCTTCTTTTTGATTATAATAATAATTATAATCAGAACTAAGTGCTAAACCACCAGGGTCATACAGTAATGCTTATACACATCCTGAATAGGTGTATAAGAACACTTTGCATGCATGAAGTATTTGCGTATGAACAGAAACATCCTAAAATAATTTTTTAACAAAGCTTGAATGATTTAATTATTCAGAATATGCAATTACTGTACTTCCTTTTATTTTCTAATTTGAAAATTTTCATTCAGTCAACCTTACTCATTGTGACCCTTCCACTGACTCAGTAGAGATGAAATATTCTGAAGATACTGCCTGTCACATGTTTGTGAAGAAAAATCTTCAACGGGGGCGAACAGCAATGGGGCTAAGCCCCATCTCTATGTTCCCACTAGCATGGTGCAGCTGTGGACCAAGGGTGTTATGACTCCTCTATCTTTCCATTATTGAGTACAAGTATTGTATAGGTTAATTAGAACTGCTATAATTGGAGTATACTATATTCTGAATGTGGCTATGCTTTGTAAAAGTGTGTATGAATTATGACGGGTAAAAAGGGATATAGTACAGTATACATGTATAATCAAGGAAAAATAATTTTAAGACTTCTCATGAACAAAAGATCTGCTTGCTGACTGTTATCAAGACCAAGACCTGAGATGCTACATCTGAATTCAAGACAGACCAGACTGTCCTAGATTAAGACACAGACCAAGATGTTAAAATAAGGCCTCAAGGCTGTTTTTGAAACTAAGATAGGGTCTTGAAACTCCACCTCTGATAACATTTGGCAGTGTCTGAATGGTGTAATATTTTTGCATGCTCACTCTTTTTCCTCACCTCTCCTGCCATTTCCTACCAAGAAGTGGCATTCTCATAATTGGATCATTGGTTTCTTCATTCACTCTGTTTTGTCACTTACTAGTTACCAGCATGAAGAATAGGTGTGGAATTGCAATCCTCATGCAGCATCTAGGAGTAAAAATTTGGATTTCTGTATAACAGCTGGAAAATTTGCTTATTAGCTCCTTGAAGAATTTGTATATGAAGTTGCTTGGGTTAGTGGGGGTTAACTGGTAAATCACTGATATTTCCCAGGCTGCAGAAACACTAGTATTATTGCCCATTATCTACCTCACCACCTTACTTAAGTTTTTTCCTTCCTTTTCACAAAACTGGACATTTTCATTAGTATGGAAAGTGTTAAACCACTGTATTTTGTTTTAATGTGCTGTTAAGTGCATAAAAAAACTCGCTGAGTTAGTATGTTCATGTAATGTTATGAATACTGTTGTCTATCAGACTGGTTTTTATAGTACTGTCAAGAAAATTTAAGACACTTTATTTTAATGTCTTACTGGTGAAGCATTTTTTTTTTTTTTTTTTTTAGGAGATAGAAACTGTACTGTTAAGTATAAATATCTGTCCACAGCTTCAATGCTTAGTTCTGTTTGGAAACCCCTTATCTTCAGAAGGGATGGTGGCCTTAAATTAATGTACCCTCAATAAAACTTACTCTAGTTGAAAATTAGCTGAAAAAAATAGGAACTGTTAAGGGAAATACAATAGACTTGAAAAATGAGCCTCAGTAAAAGATTTTATCTTACTGTTTACACTATACTCATGTTAAATATCACTTTATGTGCTTGTGTGGGGTACTTACTGAGTACAGCAACACAGAATACAAAGCCTCCCATCTGGAAGGTCCTATACTACTACTGCTCACTTTATGCATTTCTTTTATGGTTCATTTTCTGTCATCTTTTAAACCTTTGTAATACTGTGCTTTGTTGTATATAGCACAGCTAGTGTCACTCTCTCTTCTGTCTGAAATACTAATATACAGTAACACTAATGTTCTCTTGCAACAAAACATCCTCACACCATGTAACTAGACATCCTCCTTTGTGGGGCACCAAGACGTACATTTTTTTTTTTTTACCGGATATAAATTTGCAGTGTAAAGCCGAAAACATTTACTTGTTATAAATTACTACTGTAATCCGCTATTACTCCTGCTTACATATAGTATACTGTATGTTGCACCCAGTTTTCTATGTGATTATGTAAGTGTGTTTCACTGACTAGTGACTTTTAACTGCAAATGTTCATCAAATGTTAGCTAACCCCAGGATAACAGCATGCATTACACTAACCACACAGTAATGACTGATCAGAGGCAGTGTTCTGCACGTCTTCCGTGTGCTCATGACTGTGATAAAATAGCAACAGCAGAAGTGTATTGGGCACCAGCAGGGGTTGGAAATTTTTTATATTATAGTTTAAATGTGCAGAAATAATGTTAAGAGAGATAATTAAGGCCTGGAAATGGCAGGGCTCTGCAACACTACCATAATGACAGCCATTATGAGTGTTAATTTAGTTTTCTGAAACATCCTTGGATATCTGAAATTCTACTGTATTTTAAAGGAGGAATTTATATTTTTAGTAATCTCTAAAATGCTTCTCGATATCTTTGATATAGGATGCATTGGGTAAATCTGATAACTCTATTGAGTTTTTTTTTTTTTAACTGTTATATTGTATATGATGATAAATTCATACTGTACCAAAGAACTGCACTGAAGAGTGCACTTTTTTTTCAAATGTTTTAGTTTGTTGAGTTCTTAGTTTACTTTATTTCAGGAAAATAGATAATGTTTATTAACTGTTTATTCATAAGGTATAAATTAATTCATCTTTAATACTGAAAGAAAAATTTGTGCAGAGTAAAAATTCTGTGTCCACAATTAAACTACTGTATTTCAATTATGGATACATTGTAAGACTGGCAGCTTTAATTCTACAACTATATGCCAGAAGCTGCTCTCTCATAACAAAAAAAAAAAAAAAGGCTCTAGACAGATAAGTTTTCTATGAGGGAGAATAATCACCCACAGAATAAGTGATATTGAATAAATGGCTTAGCAATATATATAGAGTATGACAACAAAGACACATGTACCAGAACAAGCCTTAAATAAAACATTTCACAATGTTTTTTCAATAAAGGCTTGTTTTGCCTGTGTGTCTGTCACCCACATATAGAGTAGTCAAACAGTTCCACCATTCAAGAGTCACTTGCCTGAAAACTGCATTAAGAACTTGATAGCAAAATTATCCAGGACATCCAGACCCTAATTAAGATATTGTATAGATTGCAAATCAAATATTTATGAATACTTTTATTTGATGGTAAATAAAGTGTAAATATATCACAGTCTCTTAAAAACTGTCATCCTGGATGATGTAGAGTACAGGTACACCGGTTTTATGAAAATATTAGTAGTTTGCCCTGTATAGTTCAGATGCACACATTAGAAGTATATCATCTAGTAACTCAGAGGAAACTTGCAAAATGGAAAACATTATTCACTAAACCAGAACTTGCTAGTTGTAGTTTGCTGGTTCATCATGTCTAACTTTCTTCTAGTTTCATGGCCTTCTGAAAGCATTACAGCATTAACTTAAATTTAGGTTCAGGAATACATGGTTGATGTAATACTCATACTTAGTTGAGCTGCACATTACTGCACGTTAATATTATTTTAAAAGGAGTTTAAATATGCCATTTGGCACGTTAAATAAGCCCAGGTATTGCATCAGTGCCTCACATTATTATTTTTATACTTTAATTTCATAGGAGCACAACATCTTTTGCCCAGTCTGTGTGTAGTCTTGGTTTACATAAGTTAGGAGCTAAGATGTTTCAAGTCACATGTCACCAGGTCTTGCATGGCCTTTCAAGAACTAAAAAGAGGCATTCATGTTTATTGCTCTGTGTCAGAATTTCCAAGTGGCTTTGTGTATAACCTTATTCACTATTTAATACTCTAATGGAATGAATAGCATTATTTGAAATACATTATATAGTTTGCCACTGTATAATAACATTTCATCAGTGGAGTCCAGTTGATCACAAAATGGGAGAATTTTATTACTGTACTACTATTTTAATTATTAAATTTATATTCATTGCTTATGATTATTGTTAGTTAATAATAATTAGGCATATAAAACACTAGATAATGGCTAATTAAAAATATAATATTTAGTGAAGTATCCCTAGAAAATGTAAATGAATATTTTGTGCATTGTAGATTATTAATTTTTTTGTGGAACTCTATTTAACATGGCAGAAATTAAGTTCAACCCACATGGTGTTAAAACAAGGTCTGTTATTACAATAAAGTATTTTTTTTTTTTTTTTGTTAATGGTGTCTGTATTTTGAATTATTTCTTTTTATTTTAATGCAAGATGCTTAAGAATAAAACTGCCTTGCTCATGATATATATGAGAGTAGTAGATGTATATTATTCTTGTCATAGGAAGCAATGCCAAACTCCACAGTAAATATTGTCTATATAATTCTGTTTCTTATTCAATATTCGTATAGTCCCTTCTCATTTTGTATTATCTGGCTGTATTTTGGATGTTCATAGATAAGGTTACTCTTAAATAGCAAGAGAACACACAAATAATTGCCACCCAGGTATATTTGGATGGTTATAAGTGGGATTTTGTTTAAACATGGATCTTAAGATGTCAGAATGTTATATAGTTTATATTCCCATAATTGTTAGTTGATTTTTATGCTTCTCAGCTAAATTAATATCTTGCTCAAGCATGAAAAAAATGTACATAATTTTTTTCATCTTAAATTTTTTTTTTTGCCAGACTGAAATGGTAAAAAAAAAAAAAAAAATTGTGGTTAGTGTATGACTTTTGCCATCAATTGGCATGTATTACTGTTTGTTATCCCTTCTAATGAAATGCAAATTCTTAAAGAAACACAAACAAATAATGTCACGTGTAAGCAATGCTTAAACTAATTCAATATAAATTATAAATGAGAACTTAAAAGTTTAATCATTGGAATTTAATCATGATGTGCAGTAAACACATAATATAGTTTACTGTTAATTTGACAGGGAAGATCTGGTGTAAACATTTACCATTAGCCCATCTCAAACATATGCCTGGTAGCCCAGTCAGAAGCATAAGTTGTCTACCTAAGTGTCCTGAATCCACAATCCCACTAACCCCATTTACCAGCCCTGCTTAGCAAGTGTGCTCGCCCCTGCCCTCCTCCCATTTTGTAATTTTATATTCTCATCTCGAATGACGAAGACAACTGCATCTGACTGGTTTCTTTGTTACTGTAGTCATTATACATTTGCCTCCATCCTTAGCTCTTCAAGTAGATATCCATGGATAATGAATATGTAGCTGTGTAGGCAATTCATATTTCACTTACTGATGCTCGTGTGTGTGTGTATATACGTAGTAACCACTCTCTTAAGTAGTGAAGTCAGCTTGCATTGATTTTGTTCATATTAATTTTATAGCTCTGCCCTATGAATGTCACCACTTTCCCCTACACATGATTTTCCTAGGCAATGACAAAAATAGTAATAGGAGGTAGGCTGGTTGTTTTCAGACTTTTCATACAAAAGGTCAAGCTCAAGACCCCTTTTTTTCATAGCTCATTAATTATAAGAATTCTACTTTTATATTTATTAATAATTATTCTGGCTATATGAAAGACTTGCAGACATCAGTAACTATTTCATAATCTTATTTTGTGCAAAAGTTAGTGATTTGGATAAACAACATTAGAGCTTTTACAAAATTATATTTCTTTCCCAAAGAAATTCCAAGCAAATAGTACTGTGAAAGTTATTATTTTCTGACCATTTAATTAACTAGTGGTTGGTAAACAGGAAGTATTCAGTATGTATACATTTATACATAAATTCTTGATCATAATCTTGGTTATCAGACTGTAACATTAATGGCTGTAGTACTTGATTGGGACAGGTGAATCTTAGTGATGGGCCTGTTTCAAATATGCCAAAGCATCTAGTTATTCTCATTAGATAAAACAGGTGTAAAATTTCTTTGACATTGTGATGGTATTGCTGTAGTGAGAAAATATTAGCTTACCTCAAGTTTATATACCAGTATGTTCTATTCTGACATAATTTTGAATCAGGTTAAAGTGGTTCACCTGGATTTTGAATCAGGTTAATGTGGTTCACCTGGATTTTTGTATTTATGCATTAAAGCCTGTGTGTACTTGTACCATAACTCATTATTAACCCTTTCGGGGTTTTGGCCGTACTAGTACGGCTTACGCGCAGGGGGTTTTGACGTGCTAAATGCATAAATTCTTGCGCCGTCAAATCTAGTGAGAGAAAGCTGGTAGGCCTACATATGAAAGAATGGGTCTATGTGGTCAGTGTGCGCAGTATAAAAAAAAATCCTGCAGCACACAGTGCGTAATGAGAAAAAAAAAAACTTTGACCGTGTTTTTGGATTAAAACAGCGACTCTGCACTGTATTTTCGTATGGTATTTATTGTTGTATTTTAGTTTTCCTGGTCTCATTTTATAGAAATTGAGATAATTTTGACTGATTTTACAATGAAAAGTACCTTGAAAGTGAGCTCAAAGTAGCAAAAATGTTCGATTTTTACCAAAGATCAAAAGTAAACAAATCATGCCAAGCGTCTAATACACGTCAACTGGTGAGTCTAATATTCTTTCACAAGTGCGCTGATATTATTTATACCATTTCTACACTAATGCAGTAGTCTGCATAACAGTAAATCTTCTATTTGTTTGTGAGAATGAAAATTCAAAGTGGAAAGCAAAAGAATGTAAGAGGGGTTTGGGAACGTGGCTGATGAACAGAGGAAATGTTATTTTAGTGCCAGGAATGTCTCTTGTCTATTCTAGACTCTATTCGGAAATTAGCATCTTTTGAAATTTGTGTGAAATTGGCAAAATTGCTAAATTCTGACCACTGTATTGGATAGTTGAAATCGGTAAATGGGTGGTTTCTTGTACTCATTCAATAGAAAAAATGGAGTTCTAGCGAAATAGTTATGATTTTTGTCGACTAGTACATTGGAATTGGTTGAAAATAGGGCTCAAAGTGGGCAAAATCGCCGATGCGTAAACATCATCGAGACCGCTAACTTCGTGAGAGCATAATTTCATAAGTTTTCCATAAAATTTCATACTTTTGGTGTCATTATGATCGGGAAAAGATTCTCTATCTTTTCATAAGATTTTTTTTTTTTTTTTTTTTTAAATTTGGCCGACCCTGAGAACAAGTCTGAGAGGACCTGCCAACCCCTAAAGGGTTAATTGAACATAAATCTGAAATATAAAAATTCTCCAAACATGGGAAAAGTTTCACAAAACTTTTTTTTATTGTCAGCCTTGGAATTTTATGTGGAGGGGTTGATTATGGATTTCTTATGCATATACATTTGCATTGGCTGCAGATGTCAAGCCCATGGCTTGGCCAGTGCTTTGATTCCCAAATTTCTTAAAGATTGATGGGTTAAAGGTATAAACTTTTGCCTGGCAGGTAACTTCAATGCCTTTTTGGTCAAGAGACTGTAGATTATTTTGCTGATTTCGAACAATACTTTTCTTGAAGATTATCCTAGAGAATAAATATTGGTAAAATCTTAATTCTTTGTTATAACAAAGAATTAAGTGCATTTTACTGCCCCAAAAATAATTCTTCATCAATAAAATGTTAAGAAAACTTTGCAATTAGCATAGAATATTGAACTGGCATAAAATGTTTCCATAATTAATATAATTAGGTTGTAGATATACGATAGTGGTGTTGCAGTCTTCCCATCATTAAGGTCTTGAGATCTCTCTCCCCACCGTCCAAAGTTTAACCAGTTTACCCTACTCGCAAGTTGCCTTAGAAGACTTGTCAGGCATGTGACTAGCATACATGCAACATGCTTGTCTCTTTTGTACTTGATTCACTTGCAGTACAGAGAATTGCGTTGACATTTAGTCAGCTAATTTTTCTGCTTTCTCTTATGCGATCACAAGAAAATGCATTTTATTATTTGAAGTAGTGTTTTTGCAAGAGTATTGCTGTTCATATTTTTGATGTGAATTATTAAGTTAAAAAATATTATTTAAAGCCTATAGAGCAAAAGTGTTTGTATGGTAGGACCCCCGTATCCGCAGGGGATGTGTTCCAAGGACCTGCCATGGATACCAAAACTGCGGATAGTAAACTCTGTATATAAGTCCTATGCATACCTATTGTTTAATTGATAAATTATGCACAATAAGCAGATAATTACAACTTTTTCACTGATGGGAACATTTCACGGGTTCTCTTAGGCTTTGAAGAACTGCCGGCTTCTCTACTTTTGTGCTTTGGGGCCATTATTATGAAAAATTAAGAGGTATTTTTGGGTCACAGTAAACAGTGCATAATTGAAACCACGGATACCAAATCAGTGGATATGGGGGTTCTACCGTATACAGTATATATTTTATTATGAAGTTCAGTTTAGTAGTACAAGCTATTTCAAACTTTATGATATAAACATGACAATTTTGTTATGATTGGTGAATATTTAACAAGCAAAAATTTTATTCAATTTAGAATTTAGAATTGGTTAAAATTCATTATTCATATTTAGAACTTCTGTACATTCATGTAATGTTGCTTTACAATCTGTTGCAAGTAATTTCATAGTGCTTGCAGATAGGTGCATGAATGCTGCACTGTGTTGGGTGAGCAAATATATTCATCTGGAGGAAAAACTACAGCTTTTTTCAAGAGCCTTCTTGCTTTATGTAGTACTGTGTAAGATATGGAAGATAATTCTGGCACCCACAACATGGGAACATAATTAGCTGAGAAAACACCATAAGATCATTTTCTACATGAATCACTCACATGTTCAGTTCTTCACTTCTTTCTTTCTTTTTTAATGTGGCTAAATGTTAGACTACTTAAGTAATAACTCATGGTGAGTCTAGGTGGTTAACTGAAATGTCTGGAGGTAATCATTACTATTGTGTATTAACTCCTTTTGCTAATTGGTTTCCCATAGTTCAGTAATCTAGTTTCAGAATATTTTGCTTAATAAAATTCTATTTACGGTAGAGCATCAGAAATCCGGCGCTCAGTTTCTTGAAATGATCAGCTCTTTGGAAAAATTGGTGGAAATTAATACATACTACAGTGTTAAAATAAGCAAGAAAATACAGTGTATTGAGTTGTTCGGACTTGTTTTAATGTCCCCAGATGTTACTTATGACACGTCTTCAACCAACTACATCTTCTGTTGAACTTGGAATGTTGTACTTTAATACTGTTATGTTTTTGTTATATGTACCTGTATATAATTTTATGCTTTGTATACTTACAATGTACATAACTGTGATGTTCCTATATATACTCGGAATGGGCAGTAGTCCGGACATAGCTTGACCCTAAGCATTCCGAATTACTGATGCACTACTGTAGCTATAAAAATATCCTGGATGAGACAGGTTTGTAGAATTACAGTATGTATAACTGACATAAACTTCAGTAATTTGTTTTACATAGGTATGAGTCTACAGAATTAATACAAGATAGATGTGTGTGTACCTCCAATGAAAAAACCCAAAACCTCAAGAGTAATGTATCTTACCTATTTTTTCTTGAAATTTGTCCTTGTGCACAACTTTGCGATCACCTTGCTTACAACCAGACGTAGAAATTTAATAAAAAACATAAGTAAAATTCTCTAATTGCATTTATAGTGCTGAAGTTATGACTCTACAGTACTTAACCAAGATTTATAAAGGTTCAGTTTCATTGTGTAAGCATGTACGTACTATCTCATTATGCTTTGTGCAGTTGGCATGTACTTGAATCTCTTAAATTTGACAATGATAAATGTGGGTTAGATAAATTTACTCCTGAGGTATTCCCAGGAAGCTGATAAGTTCAACTCATTATGGCCTGCATAGCAGGTGTGTATATATCTTGACTGTTTTGAATAGTGTAATCCAAAACGTGACTACATATTGCAAGATGATTTCAACACTTTTTGTTAAAATTTAAATTTTTAGTGTACTCAGCTTTTTGAATGTACTTGCAGACTTCACATGTACCTACAGTATTTGGTTGTTTTATGTTCTTTTTGTTATTTCTTTGATGATTTTTTCTGTTTTATAATGAGCTGTGATGTATATGTTTAATTATTTTATGTACATACTCACTTTCCAAGTTCCATCAGTGGCGCTTAAGTACAGGATTGAAAGCTGCATGTTATTTGTTGTTTTATTTGTTAATATCCTTGTCTACACAGAAGAAAATTGATGTGATAAAACACCCAGAAAAGTAAAAAAGTTACAGAAATTACATGATGGATATTATGGTACTGAACTCCCATAAAAAAGGAATTTGGCATTTTTTATAACAATGTATTCCAAACTGAAGAGTCAAGAAATTAAATTTTAATAAGTATCCAAGAGAAAAGCTAGTGTTGATGTGATCTATACTGTTTGTTTAAGCTGGGTGTCCCACACAGAGTGTATAGTCATTACCGTTTGCTTTATTGCAAGAGGAGGATTATAAGACCTTAGTGAAATTTGTAGCATTAGCCAAACTTGCTAAAGGGGTATATCCAGTGAAACTAAGTTTAATTTTTTATTCACTATTCCCTCCTCTCTCTTGCACATTTCTCATTTTGAATTTCTCCCTGCAGTGCTGTATGACCCTGTTGGGTTTAGCACTTAATTATATTCAGATTATTTTTTTTTAACACACTGGCCATCTTCCACTGAGGCAGGGTGACCCCAAAAAATGAAAAGCACTTTTACCATCATTTACGCTATCACTGTCTTTGAAGAGACACACACATACAACAGTTTAAATGTCGAAGATTGAGACACTTATGCAGCATATGGAAATCTTTATTCAGGAAAACGTTTCGCCACACAGTGGCTTCATCAGTCCAATACAAAGAGGAAGGCGTAAGGAGAGGAGGAGAATGAGGTAATCAGTCCCTCAACCTGGAGTCGATGTGTTCAGTCCATCAATCTTGTAGAATGTACAGCATAGGGCCGTAGACGTCACCTCACTACAGTATATAAGCCACGTCTACGGCCCTATGCTGTACATTCTACAAGATTGATGGACTGAACACATCGACTCCAGGTTGAGGGACTGATTACCTCATTCTCCTCCTCTCCTTACGCCTTCCTCTTTGTATTGGACTGATGAAGCCACTGTGTGGCGAAACGTTTTCCTGAATAAAGATTTCCATATGCTGCATAAGTGTCTCAATCTTCAACTTGTCGGTTTTTCAAACCATTCATCACACAGTTTAAATGTCACTCTAAACAGCAAATATCCCAAACTCCTTTAAAGTGTAGGCATTGTACTTCCCACCTCCAAAACTTGAATCTGGCTAACCAGTTTCCCTGAATCCTTTCGCAGAATACATATTACCCTGCTCCCACTCCAACACCTCGTCAAGTCCCAAAAAACATTCATCTCTACTCACTCCTAACACACTCACACGTCTGCTGTATGTCCAAGCCCCTTGCACACAAAACCTCTTTGAGCACATCCCTCCATCCTTTCCTAGGACAACCCCTACATATAATTCTTTTTTTCACAAACAAAATTAGTACTCTCATGTTTAAATTACATAACACTGTGGGTAGCTACCTTCTTGTATGAAGGGTATTGAAGTCTCTGTAGATTCCATGTGCCACACTGATTGGGGATCCCAGTGCCAGTAGAGCCACAGTTGCAGAAACTAAGAGATGCTCATGTGTGTTTGCCATGCTTGGAGGCCTATCAAAAAGTGAGCTTGTGTTGACCCACCTGCTTACTATAATAATAATAATAATATATAATAATATCTTTGTTTCTACAAGTACAAGGTATACAGGTCTAGCTAACATCAATGACATACTACTATATAGAATGCCCCTTGTTATGCAGAGCATTTCTGGCAAATTAGGTCAGTTTTGTCCCAGGATGTGACCACCAGTTGACTAATCCAGGTATCCATTTTACTGATGGGTGAACAGGGACAATAGGTGTAAGGAAACACTCCCAATGTTTCAACTCTTGCTGGGACTCGAACCGGTTTAGCGCTTCTTTTTGATTATAATAATAATAACAATGGGACTCAAACCATGGTCCCTCAGTGTGTGAAGTGAGAGTATTGCCTACCAGGCCATGGGCCACCCTAAGCTCTAGAGGAAGTGCATCATTCAGTGCTGTGACTACTAGAAAACTCTTAATACATAGTTCTTTGCATTCATCTCTTCATTATCCCTGGGGTCAAGTTTTCTGTACTGAGCTTGGTGGTGGGCTAAATGAAGAAAATTAAATACGTTTTATGCACTTGGTATCTGCTGGCATGGGAAATCTGGAAAAACAGATGGGACATGCAACTATGACCACCCTAGAAAATGCCATGCCCATATGACAACAGGAAAATGCAAACTCCCTTCCTGTAAGCTTTTTCACCCTGAAATGTGTACCTCTTCAGTACAGGAAAGACTGTGCTATAACTTAAATTGCCAGGCATACCATCTAAAGGGGACAAAAAGATACAAAACATCCAGGCCATGGGAAAACCTGGGTAGCCACAGCCACTCAAGAGGGAGAGGTTTTTTAGTGCCAGGAAGGAAAAAAAACTGGCAGGAAATAGCAGAAATCGTACACCAAATCCAGTCATTCCTGGAGTGGAACCACAGTCGATGGCCTCCACTCCAAACCAACAGATACAGATACTAATGCCGGAAAAAAAAATCCCCCCCCCAGTACCAACAATACCACCAGTCCGATAACATTCTTCTTTGCAAATATACAGGGTCTAAAGCCAGCAACAAACAACAAAATACCTTTCATCCGTGGACTGCTTGCAGAGGCAAAGGCAATGTTCGCGGCTTTCACTGAGACCCACATAAAGGATCACTTGGACAACGAAATATGGATCCCAGGTTACAACCTATACAAATGTGACAGAGTGAACAGGCAAAAGGGGGGGGGTTGGCCTGTACATTGCAGAGTCACTTGTTTGCACAGAACTGCTTAATGCCTCAAATGATGTAGTGGAAGTTTTAGCAGTAAAGGTCGAGAACCAAAACCTAGTCATTGTGGTAGTCTACAAGCCTCCGGATGCAACATCCCAGCAATTCCAGGAACAGCTGTTAAAAATTGACCACTGTCTGGAAAATCTTCCAGCTCCTGCACCAACATCTTGCTCCGTGGGACTTCAACTTAAGGCACCTAAAATGGAGGAATATAGCAAAAATATTGTTGCAGTAATAACACCAGGAGGCAGCTCTGATGAAAACTCACACTCACACGAGCTTTTAAATCTCTGCACAAAATTAAATTTTAAAAACCAGCAAATAATAGAGCCTACTAAACTGGAGAATACACAGACCTCATCTTCACTAACAATGATGATCTGATAAGAAATTTTCACCATATAAAAAAACAATATACTCAATCACAACATAATTGAGGTTCAGACATGTATGCGTGGACCCCCAGACCGACAAAATGAGACTAGTCACGAGGGAGCATTCACCAAATTCAACTTCAATAAAAAAAAACATAAAGTGGGACCAAGTAAAACAAGTCCTAACCGATATAAGCTGGAAGATATACTAACAACACAGACCCAAACTTATGCCTAGAACAGATTAACTTGGTGGCACTCGATGTATGCACAAGGCTTATTCCTCAAGAAAAGGAGGAGTAGATTTTTAAAATAGAAAGAGACAGGCGCTCCCTTTACAGGCGACGGAAAAGAATAACAGAGCGGCTAAAAGAGGTCAATATATCTGAAATGCGCAGGGAGACACTGGTCAAGATATAGCAAGCATCGAACCCTTTAAACTAAAAGAATCCTTTAGGAGTCAGGAATCGCGGGAAGAACTAAAAGCCATAAATGAAATCGAAAGAAACCCCCAAAGTATTTCTTCTCCTATGCCAAATCAAAATCGAGAACAACGTCCCCGTATTGGGCCCCTACTTAAACAAGATGGGTCCTACACAGATGACAGCAAGGAAATGAGTGAGCTACTCAAGTCCCAATAGACTCAGTTTTTAGCAAGCCGCTAACCAGACTGAGAGTCGAAGATCAAAATGAATTTTTTATGAGAGAGCCACAAAATTTGATTAACACAAGCCTATCCGATGTTATCCTGACGCCAAATGGGCTTCGAACAGGCGATAAATGACATGCCCATGCACTCTGCCCCAGGGGCCCGACTCATGGAACTCTGTGTTCATCAAGAACTGCAAGAAGCCCCTATCACGAGCCTTTTCCATCCTATGGAAAAGGGAGCATGGACACGGGGGTCGTCCCTCAGTTACTAAAAACAACAGACATAGCCCCACTCCCCCAAAGGGGGCAGTAAAGCAACAGCAAAGAACTACAGACCAAAAAGCACTAACACCCATATCATAAAAATCTTTGAAAGGGTCCTAAGAAGCAAGATCACCACCCACTAGAAACCCATCAGTTACACAACCCAGGGCAACATGGGTTTAGAACAGGTCGCTCCTGTCTGTCTCAACTACGGATCACTACGACAAGGTCCTAAATGCACTAGAAGACAAAAAGAATGCAGATGTAATATATACAGACTTTGCA